AGTCCTCAAAGGGGCAGCTGTTTCATTTACCGTCTCACCCATTGCTCAGCCTACTAAACGGTTTCACATCACTAGTGCCTTCACTGCTCAGCAGCTAAGTTTGGCAGAACACTCACATCCAGTGAAAAGTCTGAAGGAGAGATATCGGCACCTTAAAGGACTTCCACTCCAAGAATTCAAAGCCGTCTGCCCTGTATTGCTCATTGGGTCAGACTATCCCCACCTGATCACCCCAGTGGAACCAGTCAGGCTAGGGCCACATGGGGGACCAGCTGCTATAAAAACTCGTCTTGGTTGGACCTTGCAGGGTTCAGTCCAACACATGCCGAAAGACGTGACAGAACAGCATTGTCTTTTCACTTCAGTCACATCCTCAGAATCTGATCTCTACAAGCAAGTAGAGAAATTATGGCAAATGGATGTACTGCCATGGCGCAGCGACAAGGCTTGCATCAGATCCAGACAGGACCAGGAGGCTGTGGAACTTCTGGAAAAGAGAACAATAAGGGTTGAGATGGATGGAGTGAAACGATATGCAACACCCCTCTTGCGTGTCAAGAATATGCCTGAACTCAAGGCACCAAAGGAGGCTGTTTTGTCACAACTGAGATCCACTGAACGGAGACTGGCTAAAAATCCACAGCAAGCAGCCGCCTATATCACAGAGATTGCAAAACTGGAAAAATCAGGTTATGTTAAGAGAGTGCCACCAAACGCTGTGACAAACACCCCCTGCTCCTGGTACATCCCACACCATATGGTGGAACACAATGGCAAAAATCGCATTGTTTTCAACTGTTCATTCCAGTATCACGGTCAAAACCTCAACGAACTTCTGCTTCCGGGGCCTGTGTTGGGGCCATCTCTTCTTGCTGTTCTCCTCAGATTTAGAGAACATTCTGTTGCGGTCAGCAGTGATATCAAGGGAATGTTTCACCAAGTTAGACTGCTTCCAGAGGACAAACCCCTTTTGCGCTTTCTCTGGAGAGAGCTAAATGTCCAGGAGCAACCCACTGTGTACGAATGGCAGGTTCTCCCCTTCGGCACTACTTGCAGCCCCTGCTGCGCCATATTTGCACTGCAAAAACACATTCTTGATCATAGTCAGCCCGGGGATGATGTTCAGAATTCAGTACTGAAATCCTTTTATGTAGACAATTGCCTACAAAGTTTCACTTCAGCTGAAGCAGCAAAGGAATTCGTGGACAGAATTAAGAATCAACTGGCAGATGGAGGTTTCGAGCTAAGACAGTGGTCCAGCAATATTCCTTCCACCATAAACCACCTGCCCCCTGAATCTATATCAAGCAGTGCTGAACTCTGGATATCGCAAGGCAAATCGGACATTCAGGAATCAACATTAGGGCTCCTCTGGAATCATCAGTCTGACAAACTCTCCTACAAATATCGTGCCAAAGATAGTAGAGAGACTACAATGCGTAATATATATAGGATACTGGCCAGTCAGTATGACCCATTGGGCTACCTCATTCCTTACACCACTCGTGCCAAGATTCTTGTACAACAACTGTGGGATAAAAAACGGGATTGGGACGATCCACATTTGCCTACAGATCTGCTACAAACATGGACTGAGTGGGAGGCAGAGTTACCAGCTCTACAAAACATTGTCCTTCCTCGATGTTACTGTAGTGCCAACAAAGACACAGAAACGAGCCTAAGAGATATGCATGTTTTCTGTGATGCCTCTGAACGTGCTTATGGCTCGGTGGCATACCTTCGAACAGAGGACCAGTATGGACAAGTGGAGGTGGCATTCCTAACCGCCAGATCTCGTGTAGCACCAAAAAAACAACAATCTATCCCCAGACTAGAGTTGTGCGCTGCACTGACTGGAGCTCAACTCTCCAAAGTACTCTTAACTGAACTGAACCTGCCCATTCGCCACACAATCTTGTGGACCGACTCCACAACAGTACTGGCATGGTTACAGTCTGAATCATGTCGATTCAAAGTATTTGTTGGTACTCGGGTTGCAGAGATCCAGGAGCTAACTGAGCAACACTCCTGGCGATATGTACCCTCCACCAGCAATCCAGCTGACGACATCACTCGGGGAAAGAGTCTCTGCGAGCTCAACTTGGAAAGTTGCTGGTACCAAGGACCACATTTCCTAAAAGATCCGGCTAATCAGTGGCCCGAATGTCCTAGTCCTAAGGAAATAGACAGAGACGAACTACGCAAAACTGGTACACATGTACAGGTCTGCTTCGCATCATCAGATTACAGCCAGTTTAAGACCCTGGAGGAACTAATTGATTTCACAGCTCTTCAAGGGGCGGCCAATGGTAACCCCACAGCCAGTGACTATAGGCGTGCTGAGATTGATGTCCTGCAAAAATCCCAACAAGAATCCTTCCCATCAGACCTGACCCAGTTAAAGGCTGGTAAATCACTTTCCAGCAATAGCAAGCTAAGAGCCCTGACGCCTGAACTTGATATCGAAACTAATTTAATCAGAGTTGGCGGACGTCTACGACATAGTCCATATCTGGGACCTGATAATATGCACCCCATCATCTTGGATCCAAGACACCCGACAACCAAGCTTATAATTCAAAGTTACGATTCAAAACTTCGTCATCCAGGTCCAGAGAGATTGTTTGCCGAAATCCGCCGGAAATACTGGATCCTGCGTGGTAGAGAGGCCATCAAGCACTTACAACGAGAATGTTTACATTGCCAGAAATGGAGGAAGAAACCAGAAGTACCTAGAATGGCCGACCTTCCTCCAGCAAGATTGCGGCTCTTTAAGCCGGCCTTCCACTCTACTGGCATGGACTGTTTTGGGCCTTATACTGTCAAAACGGGGCGACGCAATGAAAAGAAATGGGGAATAATATTCAAATGTCTTACCACTAGAGCAGTGTACATCGATATACTTCACAGTCTGGAAACCGATTCCTTCCTTATGGCTCTCAGGCGATTCACAGCTCGACGAGGAAAGCCACAGGAGCTCTTATCTGATCAGGGAACCAACTTTAGAGGTGGTGAGAGAGAGCTGAAGGAAGCTTTCACAGCTCTTGCCCCTGATCTGCAGAGTCAACTCGCCAAACAGCAAATTGAATTTCATTTCAACCCTCCTAATTCACCCCACTTTGGAGGTTGTTGGGAGCGAGAAATTCGCTCTTTGAAGAATGCCTTGATGGTCACGCTTGGAAATCAGTCAGTGACCTTTGAAGTTCTTCAAACAGTGCTGGCAGAAATTGAAGGAATTCTGAACTCCAAACCATTGGGATATACCTCATCTGATGCTTCCGACTCTAATCCCATTACTCCAAATTGTCTCTTAATGGGGCGGCTGGATGCCTCACTCCCCCTGACAGTGTACCCCCAGTCAGAACTGGTCAGTAGACGTCGATGGCGCCATAGTCAGATCCTTGCGGACCAATTCTGGAGACACTACATCAAATTCTACCTCCCTGGTCTTCAAAGCCGCCAGAAATGGCAAAATGATACTCCAGACACTCAAGTTGGCTCTACAGTGCTGATAGTTGACCCACAACTACCAAGATCACTCTGGCCTGTAGGAAAAGTGGTAGACGTACACCCTGGAGCCGATACTAGAGTGAGGACAGCCAAAGTTCAGGTGGGAAAAAAGACTTACACACGACCAGTAGCCCGCCTCATACAACTACCTGCTATTCCAGATTAAATTAAGCTTAAATCCCACAACAGTATAAAGCCTTTTTTGTGTGTGTACATATTTCTTACATAAATATGGGGGCGGCTGTAAAAAAGGCTGCAGCTTATAAGTGCAATTCTAACCTCTGTCTTTTGTCCTTTATGATGAGGCACCCCGCATACACCAGAACACGTTACCTGAGCCAATCAGCGTCCAGGATCTGTGACTACGCAATCTTCCCCACCCAAACAGATTTTTAGTTTCTAGTGTAGCGAGACACATAGACGGATGCTAAAGTTTGCGAGGAATAGATCACGGACTGTTTTCATCATTGTTTGTCAGCGGTTGCCACAAGTGTTGTGCGTGAATGCAGAAGTAAGTTTACAATCCTGTAAATGACGAAAGTTGTTCTGTTCTGTGAGTAGTTATTATGGCCGTGACGTCGCGATGCCGCGATGTATATGTGTGTGCGTTAATACATATTAGGTGTGTCAATAACCCCGTAATTCATATTGTAACACTTTTATATATCTATATTTACATATTGTGTGTATTAGAGTTCCACTTATGTTCATTAGCCAGTGTTATCTTCCTATTTGAAGTGTTGAAGTGTAACCAAATCCTTTGTTTTAAACAAACTGCGAGGCGCATGCGCCATTATAGCCTTTGTGAGTGAGGCGCTGTACAATCTGCGCTCTGTTAACAAGGTTTCAGGTTACATCAATGCATGCTAGGGTATATTGAAGTAGCAGCTTGTCACAGCTTGTCACATTTTGCACACAATCATTTGCACATTACTTTATTATCAAGCTTAATGTTTTGTGCTGTGTTGTTGACTATAATTTACTATTGTAATTTGTTTGATTATCATTATTTATATTCATATTCCTTTTTATTGTTTTTATTTTAGAAAAACCACAACACAAGTGTCATAAGTCAAGTCTGTTGAGTGGTGACAATAAATGGGTTGTTCACACAAACGTTCATCTTCGCCTCATCTCTAATCGGATAGTCTCTGGTGGGTCAGCAATCAGAACTGGCAATTAAAAAGTCTATGGTGCAGAGCTACTAAAAGCCAACCATTTTTTCATTGATGGTCCAGGATCAACAATAGTGAATTTACAATTTTGATGGTCCAGGATCAACATTAGTGAATTCATAATCTTGATGGTCCAGGATCAACATTAGTGAATTTATAATCTTGATGGTCCAGGATCAACATTAGTGAATTTTAATCTTGGTGGTCCAGGATCAACATTAGTGATTTTACAATTTTGATGGTCCAGGATTAACATTAGTGAATTGATAATCTTGATGGTCCAGGATCAACATTAGTAAATTTTAATCTTGATGGTCCAGGATCAACATTAGTGAATTTATAATCTTGATGGTCCACGGTCAACATTAGTGAATTTTAATCTTGATGGTCCAGGATCAACATTAGTGAATTTACAATTTTGATGGTCCAGGATCAACATTAGTGAATGTTAATCTTGATGGTCCAGGATCAACAACAGTGAATTTATAATCTTGATGGTCCAGGTTTAACATTAGTGAATTTTAATCTTGGTGGTCCAGGATCAACATTAGTGATTTTACAATTTTGATGGTCCAGGATTAACATTAGTGAATTGATAATCTTGATGGTCCAGGATCAACATAAGTGAATTTTAATCTTGATGGTCCAGGATCAACATTAGTGAATTTTAATCTTGATGGTCCAGGATCAACAACAGTGAATTTATAATCTTGATGGTCCAGGATCTACATTAGTAAATTTTAATCTTGATGGTCCAGGATCAACATTAGTGAATTTATAATCTTGATGGTCCACGGTCAACATTAGTGAATTTTAATCTTGATGGTCCAGGATCAACATTAGTGAATTTACAATCTTGATGGTCCAGGATCAACATAAGTGAATTTTAATCTTGATGGTCTAGGATCAACATTAGTGAATTTTAATCTTGATGGTCCAGGATCAACATTAGTGAATTTTAATCTTGATGGTCCAGGATCAACAATAGTGAATTTACAATTTTGATGGTCCAGGATCAACATTAGTGAATTCATAATCTTGATGGTCCAGGATCAACATTAGTGAATTTATAATCTTGATGGTCCAGGATCAACATTAGTGAATTTTAATCTTGATAGTCCAGGATCAACATTAGTGAATTTACAATTTTGATGGTCCAGAATCAACATTAGTGAATTTTAATCTTGATGGTCCAGGATCAACAACAGTGAATTTATATTCTTGATGGTCTAGGATCAACATGAGTAAATTTACAATCTTGATGGTCCAGGATCAACATGAGTGAATATACAATTTTGATGGTCCAGGATCAACATTAGTGAATTTATAATCTTGATGGTCCAGGATCAACATTAGTGAATTTTAACCTTGATGGTCCAGGATCAACAATAGTGAATTTTACTCTTGATGGTCCAGGATCAACATTAGTGAATTTTAATCTTGATGGTCCAGGATCAACATTAGTGAACTTATAATCTTGATGGTCCAGGATCAACATGAGTAAATTTACAATCTTGATGGTCCAGGATCAACATTAGTGAATTTATAATTTTGATGGTCCAGGATCAACAATAGTGAATTTACAATTTTGATGGTCCAGGATCAACATTAGTGAATTTTAATCTTGATGGTCCAGGATCAACATTAGTGAATTTATAATCTTTATGGTCCAGGATCAACATTAGTGAATTTTAATCTTGATGGTCCAGGATCAACATTAGTGAATTTTAATCTTGATGGTCCAGGATCAACATTAGTGAATTTTAATCTTGGTGGTCCAGGATCAACATTAGTGAATTTTAATCTTGATGGTCCAGGATCAACATTAGTGAATTTTAATCTTGATAGTCCAGGATCAACATGAGTGAATTTACAATTTTGATGGTCCACGATCAACATTAGTGAATTTTAATCTTGATAGTCCAGGATCAACATTAGTGAATTTATAATCTTGATGGTCCAGGATCAACATTAGTGAATTTTAATCTTGATGGTCCAGGATCAACATAAGTGAATTTATAATCTTGATGGTCCACGATCAACATTAGTGAATTTATAATCTTGATGGTCCAGGATCAACATTAGTGAATTTTAATCTTGGTGGTCCAGGATCAACATTAGTGATTTTACAATTTTGATGGTCCAGGATTAACATTAGTGAATTGATAATCTTGATGGTCCAGGATCAACATTAGTGAATTTTAATCTTGATGGTCCAGGATCAACAACAGTGAATTTATAATCTTGATGGTCCAGGATCAACATTAGTGAATTTTAATCTTGATGGTCCAGGATCAACATTAGTGAATTTTAATCTTGATAGTCCAGGATCAACATTAGTGAATTTTAATCTTGATGGTCCAGGATCAACATAAGAGTTTTAATCTTGATGGTCCAGGATCAACATTAGTGATTTTACAGTCTTGATGGTCCTGGATCAACAATAGTGAATTTATAATCTTAATGGTCCAGGATCAAAATTAGTGAATTTATATTCTTGATGATCTAGGATTAACATTAGTGAATTGATAATCTTGATGGTCCAGGATCAACATAAGTGAATTTTAATCTTGATGATCCAGGATCAACATTAGTGAATTTTAATCTTGATGGTCCAGGATCAACAACAGTGAATTTATAATCTTGATGGTCCAGGATCAACATTAGTGAATTTTAATCTTGATGGTCCAGGATCAACATTAGTGAATTTTAATCTTGATAGTCCAGGATCAACATTAGTGAATTTTAATCTTGATGGTCCAGGATCAACATAAGAGTTTTAATCTTGATGGTCCAGGATCAACATTAGTGATTTTACAGTCTTGATGGTCCTGGATCAACAATAGTGAATTTATAATCTTAATGGTCCAGGATCAAAATTAGTGAATTTATAATCTTGATGATCTAGGATCAACATTAGTGAATTTTAATCTTGATAGTCCAGGATCAACATGAGTGAATTTACAATTTTGATGGTCCAGGATCAACATTAGTGAATTTTAATCTTGATGGTCCAGGATCAACATTAGTGAATTTTAATCTTGATGGTCCAGGATCAACATTAGTGAATTTTAATCTTGATGGTCCAGGATCAACATAAGTGAATTTTAATCTTGATGGTCCAGGATCAACATTAGTGAATTTATAATCTTGATGGTCCTGGATCAACATTAGTGAATTTTATCAATCTTGATGGTCCAGGATCAACATAAGTGAATTTACAATCTTGATGGTCCAGGATCAACATTAGTGAATTTAGTCTTGATGGTCCTGGATCAACATAAGTGAATTTTAATCTTGATGGTCCAGGATCAACATTAGTGAATTTTAATCTTGATAGTCCAGGATCAACATTAGTGAACTTATAATTTTGATGGTCCAGGATCAACATTAGTGAATTTACAATTTTGATGGTCCAGGATCAACATTAGTGAATTGATAATCTTGATGGTCCAGGATCAACATAAGTGAATTTTAATCTTGATGGTCCAGGATCAACATTAATGAATTTTAATCTTGATGGTCCAGGATCAACAACAGTGAATTTATAATCTTGATGGTCCAGGATCAACATTAGTGAATTTATAATCTTGATGGTCCACGGTCAACATTAGTGAATTTTAATCTTGATGGTCCAGGATCAACATGAGTGAATTTACAATTTTGATGGTCCAGGATCAACATTAGTGAATTTACAATTTTGATGGTCCAGGATCAACATTAGTGAATTGATAATCTTGATGGTCCAGGATCAACATAAGTGAATTTTAATCTTGATGGTCCAGGATCAAAATTAATGAATTTTAATCTTGATGGTCCAGGTTTAACAACAGTGAATTTATAATCTTGATGGTCCAGGATCAACATTAGTGAATTTAGTCTTGATGGTCCTGGATCAACATAAGTGAATTTTAATCTTGATGGTCCAGGATCAACATTAGTGAATTTTAATCTTGATAGTCCAGGATCAACATTAGTGAATTTACAATTATGATGGTCCAGAATCAACATTAGTGAATTTTAATCTTGATGGTCCAGGATCAACAACAGTGAATTTACATTCTTGATGGTCTAGGATCAACATAAGTGAATTTTAATCTTGATGGTCCAGGATCAACATTAGTGAATTTTACTCTTGATGGTCCAGGATCAACATTAGTGAATTTTAATCTTGATGGTCCAGGATCAACATTAGTGAGTTTTAATCTTGATGGTCCAGGATCAACATTAGTGAATTTTAATCTTGATGGTCCAGGATCAACATTAGTGAATTTTACTCTTGATGGTCCAGGATCAACATTAGTGAATTTATAATCTTGATGGTCCAGGATCAACATTAGTGAAATTATAATCTTGATGGTCCAGGATCAACATTAGTGAATTTTAATATTGATGGTCCAGGATCAACATTAGCGAATTTTAATCTTGATGGTGCAGGATCAACATTAGTGAATTTTAATCTTGATGGTCCAGGATCAACATTAGTGAAATTATAATCTTGATGGTCCAGGATCAACATTAGTGAATTTTAATATTGATGGTCCAGGATCAACATAAGTGAATTTTAATCTTGATGGTCCAGGATCAACATTAGTAAATTCATAATCTTGATGGTCCAGGATCAACATAAGTGAATTTTAATCTTGATGGTCCAGGATCAACATTAGTGAATTTTAATCTTGATAGTCCAGGATCAACATTAGTGAATTTATAATCTTGATGGTCCAGGATCAACATTAGTGAATTTTAATCTTGATGGTCGAGGATCAACATGAGTGAATTTTAATCTTGATGGTCCAGGATCAACATTAGTGAATTTAGTATTGATGGTCCAGGATCAACATAAGAGTTTTAATCTTCATGGTCCAGGATCAACATAAGTGAATTTTAATCTTGATGGTCCAGGATCAACATTAGTGAATTTTAATCTTGATGGTCCAG